TACACTAACAGAGCAGGATTTCACACTCATGTATTTGCTTATGCTATGGTCTCCTTGGATCTGCTGTAGGCCGAGTCGGCGCCTTGAACTTCTGCAGCGCGTCGCCACTCAGAAACTTCATCAAGAGCTTCTGCTTTAGCGCCAGGGTTCGCTTGCACTGCTTCCTCAGAGGGAGGAGTTCGAGGAGTCGTAACACTTACAGCTGCTAAGTCCCAGGCACACCGTGAAAATCTACCCGAGGGCGGGCCATTAAGGTGCTCCGCGTGGAGGCAGGATGCTTCCAGGTTCAAGCACAGGGTTTTGCGATGTTTTTGGGTACACTATAGCTACGGTATACTTACTGTATATAGGCTATAGGGGCTACAATATCAATAAGGTTCAAGAGATCCTCCAGCAGCGTAAACGTACGCCTGCACCATTACCAGGTTGAGGCAATTTGGGTTTGGGACTGAGGTAAACGGTAAAGGGATAGCCATTGCGCAATCCAGGTCTTCTCTACAGACCACCACCCTAAACCATAAGTCCTAAACCCCAAACCCAAACCCCTAAAGGTGGACTTCAATATCACATCATGTAGGGTTGTCTGCACAGATCGAGCCGGACGTGTCCTAGATCTCTGAAGAGAAGCAGAAAATGTTCAAGCAGGGCATCGCTAGTAGTCGAAAGTGATATCTCTCGGAGCCACGAAAGTCAAGGGCTCGTGCGCACCCAGGCACATCATCCGCCGAAGCGCGAAGATGTACTTTTTGTGCCGGCTGGCGTCGTGCAGGCGGTGAGGCTTGATACCTTGAGTCACACACCATCTGCAAGTTCTGGGGCTTCGAGCTTAAGGTGCTCCATCGAAACACACTTTGACTTGGGATGCACGGGGTGTCGCAGCTTTTCATCGATACTTTGCAGCAAGCGCGGTTCACAGGACGCAGGTGTGCATGCGTGGCGAAGCGGCATGACAATCGGCTACATAGGCCGCTACGGTATTCTTCTCCGGAAGCCCGAACTACGAAGTGAGGTCTCAGGTAGCAGGCAACGGTGATAATTTTGACAAGCTGCGATTCGCCTTGCAGAACTCCCACTTCCTTGGGCTTGAGGTGCATGACCCGGATTGAGAGTGTACTGTGAAGATACGGTTTACAGGCCTCCAAGGTTTAGGCTCTCGGGCTTCTGTATGTGATGCTTTCGGGCTTATGGTCAAGGTGTTTGTCATTCAAGATCGTCGTCCTGCCCGCGCTTGGAAGCCCTGGCCCGAACTAGGTCGGGGCATACCGCATAGGTCAACTTTGTAGCTGTTGAGGGATGCAATGACAGCCTCTCTCGGTAGCACTATATTCGCCGAAACGACTCGCGGCAGGCCCACAGAGGAACCAGCAACAGGCTGGCACCTTCGTCGCGATGCAACTGCGGCATTAGCTTACAATGCGTCGGCAAACTTGGATCCTAACCTCTGCAATTTCCCAGCACCACCGCATCCAATGCCATCTGAAGCATGAGCCTGGCTGCTGTCAGTAAGCCGCATGAAACTTGAGCTTCACGGCCTCCGCGCTGAACAACAAGCCCACGTACCCACAAATAGTAGCAAGACTGCCGCATATAGTCTCGGTGTGAGTTTGCCACAATATACCCCCAACAACCCTGGTCACTGGTCTAGCAGCCTAGCTCGCAAGGCCACCCAGGACCGAAGAACTCTTTTCTGGGCCCAGCGTCTTCTTCCCGAGCTCGGGGCTGTCCGTGGGAAAGGCCAGCATCCAGGGGTCCAAGCGCATCGGCTCGGGAGCCTCTCCAGAGGAGCACTTCTTTAAGGGTCCTCAGGCGTCTTTAAGGTGTCTTGGGCTTAGGCTTTCTGGGGAGAAAGGATTTTCTGGGTTTTTAGGTTTGGGGGTTCAGGCGTGTGAGGTTGAGGGCTTTAGCGTTTAGGGTAGTTTAGGGCCTAGGGTTTTTTCCCACCTAGGGCTTGGGGTTTACGGTTTACGCTCTCCCAGCTCGGACTAGGCAGGTTAGGTCTCAGGGTTCGTGGTCGGCAACTAGAATTCAGGCAAGCTTGCCTCCGGGCGTAAACCAAACCAAGTTGTACAACATGACTATATGACCAAAGAAAGGGAGTAACAACAGCATGCGCAAATCTCAGTTCAGAAGTATTGCCGTCTTTCCTCATCAGACCCTCAGATGGGACCTCGCGAGGCATATGAATGAAGGATCTCGAGAGTGTTGTGAAGCTACGGGCAACACAGTTTACTCAGCTACGCTCAATCCAAGCTACAGTGACGCTTTGCGAGGGGTCCCAGACACCACTCGCCATGGATTGCAGGGAGAGTGAACCTTCCAGTACGTTCGCCAGCCGAGCCAGTATCTCAACTCCCGTCCACTGCTTGGCTCAGCTCAAAATGATCCAGCACCGCTGTCTAGCAAAGCTCACATGCATCTTGGGCATGATCAACCCACGGTGACCGTCAAGCAGTTGAAGCGGCAGATTGCGGGGGTGTTGACGCTCACTCTTGGACTGCGCCAAGCAAAGTCTGAAGACGTGGTGAGGATTTTTCTCCACCAAAGTCTGGCAGTTTACAGGCGCAGTCGCACGACACCAGGCCTAACATGCCGGAGCCCCCAGCCCCTTTCAGACCCTGAAACCCAAGAAGAACATCCCAGTCAATCCTCGGGCCTCGTCGGGATCGGAGTCATCGCTCAGAACACCGTCATCCTCTTCGGCTCCGTTCGCGCCCACCTGCAGGATACCTTCAGGGAGGTGATGCTCGCGATCAACCAACCATGAACACCGGCAAACACGGGACTTCCCTGGGCACTGTCGCGAGACTGTGTGACCCGCCGTTCTGCGGGCTTAGACTTCGCCCCGGGCGAAGTTGGGGCGGAACCTGCGTGGACACCCCATGGAGATGTCAACCCATACGCTTCGAAATTGCTTGCACCCTCGTGTCAATGACAGGTCCCACCTGAAGGCGATAGAGCCCTGTTGGCAGCCTTGCGAGAGGAGTGTGCAGACGACATGGAGGAGAAGCACCAGGCAGTCAGGAGCTGAGGAGGAGCAGAAACTACACGGGAGCAGTTCTCGAACAAGAAAGCGTTGTGGTTCGACCTTGTTTTGCTTCCCCGTGCCTGCGCTGCCTTGCGCTCTGCGATGCCTGGCTTCATGGCTGGCAAGTTGACAAAATGCATACATATCCCAAAGAGTATGGGAGCATGCAAGTCTATCACCTGAATCTTTCGATCGAAGCTGCAGTCTGCACCCACCCCACCTCCCGCCCTCCCGCCCTCCAACCCGCCCAAGCCCGAAGAAAGTAGGGAGCTAATGGGTCTATCAACTCGAACAAACCGAAGCAAAACCACATGCGCGTGTGCTATCTCGGAAATAGGTGCAGCTGACCGGAATTAGGACTGCGGCGCGTGAAGCTTCAAAACTTTTCTCTAGAGTTGCTTCCACGGTTGCAGGAGGCCTGACTTGAACTTACGTTCCTGGTGCAGTGCCCTCCTGCATCATTGACCTCGTTGACCTTTCCAGCTGTTGATGATGAGGATCAGAAGAATATGATAAGCTAGAAAGAGCTACCGACCATACACGTCTGCCACTACACTACCAGGAATAGCAATGACAGGCCCTTCTTGGATGAGCTGTCTGCGAACATCTGAGTACATACACCAGTGCAATCTACCTGAATGTTCGCAAGACCTCCTTCCACCATCGTGGTCATGGGAAGAGCTCGGCTTCAGCGTTTACATGTTCGACGGGCCTGTTCGTTCCCACAAACCTCGAAATCCTGCCTTGCTCGGCTTTCTTCAGGACTTCTTGAGCTTCTGGGGAAAGCTCTTCCTTGGGTGGCTTCAAGCTGAAGCTTCGCTTAAGGCCAGGCGCTCGGGAGTGTCTGGGCAAAATCTTGCAGACATGGACCGCTGTTTGCTCTTACCCTAGGTCTCGCCGGAAAGCTGCACGTGTGAGCAGCAGCAGCTTCGTGCATCAGAAGATTCATAAGCATGTACTTAAAGGCCTCAACCCATGGCTATCCCTGCAATCGTGACCAAAACAGAAGCCTGAGTACAGACAAGCCGCGAGCTTCTGCTGCAGCTCTTCTATCTGCTTGATCAAGGACTGGGTCCAGAGCGCTGGCTCGGGAAAACATAGAATATGAGGTGGTGGCATCACAGACAAAGCATGCGTGGTTCTGGCGTCGCCTACTCATTGGAGAAATGTCTCGGACCCGGTACCCTCCTTACAGATCTGGTGAGCTGCCGCCTGGCCTCGCAGGTCACAATCCACTTCCCAGGATCATCCCCCAAATCCAAAAATTGCCCAAAACCTGGATGTGAATTCTCTCAGACCCCAGGCGTTCCGCCGTTCGTGGCCCGCTGCGATGTCGGCCCGATGGTGCTGCAAAATCCGCTCCAGCGGGCTGACTGGCCAAAAGACTTTTGGGGTCTGCAGGGGGTCCCGTGAGGTTGACCAAAGCCGTGAAGCCGGACCTAACCATCCCTACGGAGAACAGAGAACCTTTCACACTCGCTGCCTGGACCTCGTACCTCTAAACACCCCGGGAAGCAGCTTTGTAGGAAAGAGAGTCCTGCGTTTGTCTTTTGCCTCTGCGTCCAGTTCGAACTGAAGGTCAGTGTTGGTCATCCGCTAGCCTATTTGTAGTCATGGTACTTGCTGATTAGTGGTCTGCCTGCTTGTGATGCCAGTAAATATACAACATGGAACCTCAGCCGAAATCTCTTGGCTAGTGTGTTTTAACCCCTCTAGGGTCTTGGAAAAAAGGGGCCAGTCCTGTGTTCAGCTGGTTCTTGGACTTCTGCCTCGGCAGGGACATGCTTCTGCAAGGCGCAGGGCCCACGGAATCGGAGAAGCTGTTGCATTTCTTGCTCGAGCTGTCACACTACAGGAGCACCCTCCAGGCGTGTGGGAATATATGCGCAAACTTGTCGATGTGCGTGTGCGTATATGCTTATAGATTCAAACAAGTGTGTATCTATATTTATATGTATGTATGTATG